CCCAGCCAGCAAGGCTGGCTGGGGAATTCTGGGAGTTAAATTCCACAGGTCTTCAAATTGCCAAGGTTGAGAAACACTGATCTAGTCCATCCTCCTCCCCAGTGCAGGAATCCACTACTGCAGCATCTCTGACAGATAGCCAGCTTCTGTTTGAACACCTTTTGCGAAGGAGAGTCTTCAAAGACTTTTCTACTGTTGAACAGCACTTACCATTAGGATATTTTTCCTGGTGTCCAACTGAAATCTACTTACTTGTAATTTAAACTCCCTGTTTCTGGCAATGTCTCCTATGACAACTCTGAACAATTCTGCTTATCTTCTACATAACAATAAGCCCTTCAGATACTTGAAAGCCGCTCTCATGTCTCCTTGCAGTCTTCTCCCAGCTACTAATAACTTACACTTCCAACAGTTCCTCATAAGTGTTACCTTCCAGGTAACATCTTGATAAACTTATGCTAGCTCCAACCAAGTGATGCATTGTTTTCTGAAGGTGCACAAGCCAATTACTTAACAGCCTGATTTAGAGATTTGCCCAGAATCAACATCAGACTGACACTCTTTAGTTATTTGGGTCCTCTTTTTTCCCTTTCTGAAGATAGAAACAATATGGTCCTTTCCCAGTCCTCTGGCACTATGTCCATCCTAAATGATTTCTCAAAGATCACTGAAGGCTCCTACATGACATTTGCAAACTCCTTCACGACTCTTAGGTCCTAAAGACTTAAAACTTGTTCATGTTACCATGTGCTCTCTAACCATTACTTTATTTATCTTGGGATACAATTCCTTCCCTTTGACTGTTCTGTTTAGATTCATTTGAACACAGTTCTCCTCTGGGGAGAAGACTGAAGCAAAGCAGGAGTTTAGGAGCTCAGCATTCTCCCTGTTACCTGTTGCTATTCTACCATCTTCTGTTCATCCCTTTGGTTTTTTTCCTTCTTTGTTGCTTTAAGGTTTTCTTGCAAGTTTAAGTTTCTTTCACACTTTAGCCTTTCTATCTTGCTCAAATTCTTGGAGCTCACTACAAGCACACAGTTCCTTACATAAAATATTATGCTTCTGTTCCTTTTGGCCTGTTCCTTTGAATAAGTTATACCCTTCAGTCCTTGCATTCCACTCATGAGTTTTGGCCACCAGGTTATATTAAATTGTATTCACCTTCCTGCATTAAGATTTCTAGTTTGTCTTGTTTGTTCCCTGTTCTCTGTGCATTTGTATACATGGCATGGACGGTAAATAGTAACATGAAGCAGTAATACAGGTAATGTTTCTCAAACTTAGCAAATTCCAGATGTGTGTACTTCAACTCCTGGAATTCTCACTAATGGCCATGATGGCTTGGGAGTTTTGCGAGTTGAAGTCCATGCATTAGGAGGGTGCTTGGGTTGAAAATCACTGATGTAGAGGAAGCAAATGACATGGGAGACTCAAGGAAGAAAATGTCTGTCCTTGAGGTTGATATAGAATATCTTGTTTTAAAGGTTGTTCTAAAATAATGGTAGTGATAAATGATGGTCTGCCTTTTAAGTCTAAGCCAGATCTACTGATGTCTCCCTTTTTAAAAATGTTAATTGTATTTAAAGCTGAAGATTTTTTTTAATCCTGCAGCCACAAAGAAAAACAATTCAACCAAAGCTGGTCGCACAGGGGCTGCAGGCAGCCTCTCTTTGCGAAGAGCGATGGATTGTGGGGATGGAAATATCCTTTTGAAGCCAGACTGTCAGCTTTCCTCTGAAGGTATAAACATATCTGTGGCATATGTGTGTATTTGCATACTATTTTGCTGTTTGTGTGTTTTAAATTCTTGCTTCTTCTGTACATGGGCTTTCCCTGTTGTTGCTGATAGAGCAGATACAATAGAACACAATTCAAGCTGCAAACCACCAGTAATTGAAGGATGAAATACCAATTGAATTGTTTAACTTGGAGGAGAAGAGCTAACAGCTTTGTGTCAAATACCAAATAAGAAGACTGTATGGTATAGAGATTGGAAAAGATTAGTTTCCAGTATGTACATATATAGGAAAAAAATATTCAGATGTTGGCCCCTCCTCAGTGATACCCCACTAGCATGCTGTATATGGCTTTCCATATTGTTGCTGATAGATCTGGTAGAGTAGAATGTAATTTGTGTCTCAAACCAACAAGGACTGGAAAAATCCTGTCTTAAATACTAGTTGTTTGTGACAAATACATATTACATATTATATATATCCTTGAAGACTGGAAAAAAATCATGAGAACTTGTCTTATTTTTCTTTAGGTTGCCTAGGAAACTCAAAGCCCAACAGTCGGCGTGGCTCCCCAAGATCTTTAACTTGTGCTTCAGACCCCCTGTCTAATTCTGAAGACAGAGTATGTGAGGTTTCTGATTCCAGCATTGGTGCTTCTGGTTTAAGTGGCATAACTGCTGTGGAAAAGGCCAGGAAAGGAATAGCTGTGGGGTAAGTTTTATTTTGCACTGTATGTGACTTGAAGAAGAATATGTATAGAGACATAGAGATGGAAGGGACCTGGGAGGTCTTCTAGTCCAACCCCCTGCCAAGGGCAGGAATCCTCAGACCATCCCAGAAAAATGGCTGTTCAACGTTGGCTTGAAAACCACCAGTGATGGAGCATCCACAGCTCTAAGAAGCAGGCTATCCCACCGCTTAAGAGCTCTCATGGTCAGGAAATTACTCTTTATTTACTCCTTTAACTATGTAAAGCTTCCACTTGTTGGTTCTTGTCCTACGGTGCTATGGAGGTGCTACAGAGAGTAAATGCAAAGCCTCTTCCCTTCGACAGCCCTTCAAGTATTGGAAGGCTGCTATCATGTTTCTTCTTAGCCTTCTCTTCTTTCATCCTGCCCTGTTGTTTTCATGGCATATATCTTAATTGGGAATACTTCTCATTTCCAGTTGTTTTCCACTCTTGCAAATACTTATACTGGGTAAGAAATTAGTACCTCTAGAATTCTTCACAGCAACTTTTGCTGTTGCAAATTTAAGGCAGCCTATAATTTCTGGTAGAGACGTGGAAATATTGCAGATCCAAACATCATTCTTAAATGCTTTACAATTGCCTCTCACCTCAGAAAAACCCTCTTCCTGTTTTCATTTGTATGTACCATAGTTAGTTTTGCAAAGTGTAGCACAATGTAGTTTACTGTTTTAATTGAAAGGAGGACATGATTGTGATCTTTCAGAAAAAACTGAAGTCCATGAAAGTTCCATAATATGTTGTCAAATTAACCCTGGACTCTGTTGACATGACAGAAATGGAAATACTTTAAGCTCTGGGGCTTTTTTGTTACCAACCTGCCTTTCCTCTCCTTTTTAGGCCTAATTCAAATCGATGTTGCCTGGAAGCAGCAGAGTCAAATGATTTGGAGAACAGCACTGAAGCTGGAGAGCTCCAAGTAGTCCCCTCTGAAGGGGCCTCAGCAAATCTTGAGGAAGGTAAGGCTCCGTTCAGGATTTGGAGAAAACTAGAAATGTCCTGATAAGCTGGTGTCTTCCTGTTAACCCAGACTCAAGCACTCTAAAGCTGAGAGGCTGCTGGAGCTAACAGTACATCAGTAACTTGAGTAATGGTTTGTAACTGCTGAGTATTTCTTTGTGATGAGTATTCCTGGAGGCTGAGGCTTGCTTTACCCTATGGAAAAACCATAGACGCTCTTCTTTCTGGGTCACAGAATTAGTTGTTGATTTGGAAGTCTCTTCCTCTCCCGTACTTGTAAAACTGCCTTCCACCTCCTCACTCACTGGAGTTTGGTACGTGATGAATTGCTGTTTTTAAAGTTGGACTAAGATGCTGGCATCCATCATTACGTGTTGGGGGTCATCTCATGAAGGTGTTGCAGGAGGCGCGTCTGACCTCAGGCTGAATGTTCCTTTTTAGTCACCGTGCTTTAAGCACTGTTAGCAGTTGCAGCTTGGTTGTTGGAAGAGGAAGAAAAGGATTTTCTTTTTTACAGTTGCATTGTGGAAAACCCCAGGAAGCCCTTTGCTGCTTGTTCCCTTTCAGATAGGGGAATCGGAAGTAACAGACCCTTTTTGATTTGCCATTTTGTAGCCATGGAGACGGAGAATGTTGGCGTTTTTCTTACTACACAAGGACAAAGGAATTGGGACCTTGTGTTCTGGGCTGGAGAAATCTCACTGCACTATTAAAGTTTGCTTTGTGTATGAAGCAAGGTCCATTTCATAAACACCCTCTAGCATCTTGTTATGGCAATAACAGATGATAATAACTACAACTGCAGAATTTTCTTGGACTTGGTATATTCATCCTGTTTAGGGAAGCTGCTCAGTATAAATATGGTTCCAAAGGCTGCAGTGCTTCCTTGGCTGCTAAATAGGGAGCAATTTATTTGGAGCTTTTATCAAATGGCAGTTCACTGATACACTGCTAATAATGAGACAGTGCTGGATGCCTAGCTGCCAGCTGTGAAAAGCACCTTAAAGAGCAGAAGCAAGGAATATCATTAGGTGGATTAACAGCAATAAGAGGAAAAAAACAGATTAAGTTGGTTTTCAGTGTGAAAGCAGCATGTGGCTGACAGCCAGTTCTAAATATGGGAGCTTCTAAGTTTTGTTGATGTCAGTGGATTTCAGCGTTTTAAGTGCATAGAGAATTAGATTGTAAGTAACATGCTGTGAAGTTTTAAAATAGGGAGGAATACCCACAGATCATCAGCCATACTTGGACAGTGAGGCACCCTCGTTATGCTTATAACTTTCACCCAAGATCTTCTAATTCTCACAGCTTTGCAGCTGGTATAATAACTATTAGGAAATAAGGGTGGAATTAAAGCAAAAGGATGGATTTCCCTTGCAAGTTCCTTCTGCTTAAATGGAGTAGAGTACGGTATCTACTGATTATATTTTTAAATCAGTCGGTGGAGAGGGGACTTTTAAGTATTTATTAATATTATTTCTGTCTTCCTAAGCTAGATTATGGATAACTGCATACATCATTAATAAAATATTCTTAAAAGCAAAAATAAGAACTGGAGCCCTCTTTCTTCGAAGATGGTTGTACAGATCAGCTGATGGCAATGGGCCTGTAGAGTGCAGGAGGCCACCAGGAGCAGGCTTGAGCCTTTCCCTATCACTTTCCTCCTCTAAGACTTAAAAAATTATCCCAGGAAATTTTTCACCTATTTAGATCATGATTTGATGTATTATATCTAGAGAAATATATCTAAATTAAAAGCCAGTGTGAAATGTAGCTAACAGAAGGAAGGTAATACAGTTGTCATAATGTGAAACCTTGATCAGGAGATATCTAATGTCTGAATTTCTCTGAGATACCGAGTGACTAATCTTGAGGCCTGAGGAAAATATGAGAGATGTTATTGTCATGATTTGATCAGAACTTTTGTTAAATACACTGAATCAGTTTCATAATTCTGGCTGGAATATTATTCAGAAGGTACAATAAGGGTATTTATTCATTGAATCCTGTAGATGGATGCAGTTTTGCTGAAGTCCTCCAGCATATATAGTTCTTGTTGACAAATTTATTTTAAAAATCCTATGATTTGATTTGCTGGATTAGATCAAGTTTTGTTGACGTAATAGCTTCACAAGGCAGCAACAAATGTATTTTGTATTAATTACTGCAGTCAATATGGGGAAATTCCATTTCAGGAGGTTACAGATGTGGAAATGAACAGGATAGTTAAGTCCAGGTAATGGACAGAGACAAAGCCTGGGAAAATCAAATGCTGATGAGCCAATCAGGAGGATGAGTTTCCCTTATTGTTTTTTTTTTTTTTTAAGGGGGAACAGTCATTTTGTCTAGGACCAGTGAAGCTACTTGTGATATAAATTCTTTGTTTTATGGATTAAGATCTGGGCTGTGGGAACTTGCACTGGTGTGTTTGTGTGAGAAAGAGAGCGTTTCTGTGAAATACTGGGCTGAGGGAGCAGCTAATTTTCAAATTGATAATGACTAGGTTCAGTCTTTTCAAAAAGTATGTGTTCATTCCTTCTTTTTTCTTTTTCTTTTATTGTTCTCCTCTTGTGTATCTGACCTTACTGTATCTGACAAATATTTAACTTCATAAGGAACCAGTGGTTCTCATTCTGGGAAAGAAACATACAGGCTGCTGAAGGAAGGGGATTCATTTATCTGGAATGAAGTGCTGGTGGCAGCAAATCTAGTTGGCTCCCCCCAAGAGTTTCAGGGAGAGAGCAACTGGGTTGTGGGGGAAAAGGATTTGGAGAACTGTTGTGGTAATTGGTGAGGACCCAAGCCAACATTGCTTGTGTGTGTGTGTGTGCGCACCCCATTGCAATTATGTGTTTTCCAGAGCTGTAGTTACCTTGTCTACTCACTAGGAAGCCTTTCTGTAGATCCAACAGAACTAAGGTGAACCTTTGGGCTCTTTTTTTTGAGGGTAATGTGTTTGTGCTAAGCAGTTAGTTCTTCTACTCCTTTCTGGGTGCAGTTGGACTTTGCCAGAAGCATGTCCTTCACCTCTTGCCAGGCATGAGCAGTGACAGCGACATTGAATGTGACACAGAGAATGATGAACAGGAAGATGCAGAGACTGCCTGTGCCACTCCAGAGGTCTACAACCAGGCTTTCCAGACTCAGCCTTCAAGTGATGGTAAGAAGGTTCCTTTGCAAAGACCAGTGCCTGGAAAATGCCAGTGGCTAGGCTTTGAAAGTAGTCTTTTTTCTCTTTTATTAGCCTTTATTTGCTTCTGTTTTTGTTAGGGTTCTTTCTCCCTCATTTTTCTGTTTGTAGCACTTTCTCCTAATTCTTGCATTCTCTTTTGTGGATATTATAGCTGCTCTTCCCAACTTCTGTGGTGTATGTTCTTTTCTAAGCTGTAGCCTTACATTGTTCTGAACTGTGAGAACTGGTATCCTTATGCCTCTAGTAAGTCCTAAGGCACTGACCTTTCTGTTGGCCAAGGCACTTCAAGTTGACCTTGGCATCATATAATAGCCACCAGGTAAACTGATGGGTTAGGATCTCTTTTTTTCTCTGAAATAATTACAGTATTGCATATGTAACCTCAGTGGGCTGTCTCTCACCTGAGAATATCTATACAAGTAGGGAAACAGAGCTCTTGGACATTCTGGTGTACTGCAGGTTGCCCCTCAGCATTGCATTCTTGCACCACACCCATATGATGCTCTACCCATTTAGGTGCAAGCATGAGAAGGCAATCCAGTGGCTTATGCTTGATTCTGTCTCTACTCTTTTTGTTATTTTATCTTCAGTTTGGTTTTGCTTTTGTTTAGAAAAGCAAAAACCATGTTGTCTGGATTTTCATTTCTAAGCTTGCTGCAACTGGACACTCTGCTTCTCTCTTCTTAGATTTGACTCTTTCTTTGGGGTGCATTTTGCTTACCTTCTATCAAACCTTTCTGCTAATAAATGACTCTAAAGCTATTTTCTCTCAGTTTTCAAGACTGATTTTTGAAAGTTTCCTAGATTGGACGCTCCTTTTCTTATGGATCCAATTTATTAGAAAATAATGTTGCGGCAAGTCTTCCCCCCAGTGGTCTCAGCTATTGTCATCTTACTTGGAGATAGATTGGTTTGAACATATCTCATTGTTCAGAATCAGGACAAAAACATTAATTAAAGGTTGTTTCTAGTTAAGAATGAAAGAGGCATTGAAATCTGATTCTAATCAGTCAGGAAACCTACAAGCTCCAGTCCTCCTCCCCCCACTCCATCTTGTGGTCAGTCAAGTGGAGAAAGGGGTTCTTATGGCTAGCTTGGCCAGGTGGAATTGATTCAGCAGTACCCACCTGAAAGACAAAAATCAGGGTCACTTGATTCTTCTTTCCTGAGTGTGTGATAGCCCACTGTTGAACACTTCCATCACACCAAATCAGAAGTCTTCACTATAAACGTTTTGTGTTTTCAGCCTCAGAATTGTGCTCAGTTTTCCCTGAGGGTGACCAGATAGGCCCTGAAGATCTCCCCTTTGCCACAGGGAAGGACAGTGCAAGGTAATACTGGGTTCTTCCTGCTGCACCAGCTAAAATTTTATGAGGATTGGCATTTTGGGACTAAAGAGTTTGCAAAGGAATTGCATCTGTGATACCAGCAATTTGCTACCTGAGTGACTTCATAGCATCTGGAGGTTTGTATATTTGTCTTGCTTTTTCTCATATCTGAAAGCTGATTGTGTATGAGGATGAGGTCTGCGTCACATAAGTAAAGATCAGTGTACCTTTGAGATGTCCTGTGTTAGGGTACTGCTGCCCTTCCTCCATGAAGAAGGATGAGATCATGCTGAATTACTGTTGTTCAGATCTGCCCCAAATGCATAAAGGCCTGTTAATGTTTCTTTATATTTCACTTTTTTGGTGGATCACTCTGATGTTGAGTTCTTTTAAACCTAGAGATGTAAAGTGTGGTATACCATCCTCACCTTTGTAGCCTTCAGAGCTCCCTTCCAGTAAGTGGGCCCAAATTTGGAGTCCTTTTTTGCATTTGGGAAGCTTTAAGGAACAAAAGTGGTCTCCTTAAGTCTAGCAGATGCTTAAAATTTCCATTTCACTTATAAAAGCCCCACTCTCCATACAGGCTGTGACTCCATCTACTTTTGGAGTGCATCTCAGAATGTTACACAAAACCATATTGTGCCAACCCATTTTAAAGACTACTGATTTTCTTCTCTGTCCTTATCCTTTGTTTGTTGATTTTATTGACATAGACTGCTTCTGATATGAAATTATTCCAGTTTGTTTATTCTGTTTTGTCCCAGATAGAGCTTTTGGGGATGGGAGCCGTCTGAAGTTTGATTAGCATTTGGTAGCTTATTTCTTAGGGATGGCACTGCCCCAAGTTTTCTGGTAATGCCTTACACAGACTTTTCATGACCCTGTCCTCTGAAAATTCTAGCTGCATTGGTTCTCCAGTTCCACCTGCACTTCATTTAGCTCCAAAAGCTACTTTAACCTTAGCCATATTCCTCAGTGATGGCGAGGTTTAAGGGGACGAAGAAGGGACACTTCCCTGCTGCAATTATTTTAAATGGTATACATTGTTGTCATAAGCTACTTAAATATTTTCCAAAAGGAGTTTGTTTTCTCTCCCTCCCTCCCTCTCCAAATTAGTCCAGTTTTGGCCAGTTGAAACTAGCCTTTTTTTGACATTCTGCATTGCATTTGAGCTACTGAAGGTGTTCTACAAGTTTATGCTTAATTGGCTATTCCCTTAAAAGCATGTTATAACTATATAAATATTACTTAATGTATCCTGGTGTATTTATCTTCTCTTGAATGTTATACTTAACAGAAATATCCATTTGTAAATGTAATGTTTAACAACTGTAAAAATTCAGGTGAAAATGGTTTGCACTCTTTTAATTAATAAAATGAATGTGGAATTGACTGTGCTTGTGCAGTTTAAGCTCCTAAGAGATGAGGGTATGCAAGGAATAGTTGCTAGATTCAACATCAACATCTTTGCAAAGCACCTTGAGCAGAGTGTTTTGTGTTGGGTTTTTATATAAAAACAACAGCAGTGATGAATGTGTAAAATTGGGCTAGGCAACCAGCTGGTTCCCTTCATTGTGTAGGTTTCACCTCTTTTCAGATGGTACCCTGTGGTTTGCTTTTTTTTTTTTTGTCAGAGCTAAAACTGTTACATTCTCATTACGTATCTGCTCTATTAAAAATAACAGGGCCAAAATTTCTCTTGGAAAATTTAATTTCTACCTTCATAAGATGAATTTCTAGTAACTTTTGGGTCCAGTGCTCTTGCCTGCCTGCAAATTCTAGTTGTGATACTTGTATTTAATGCACACTGACAGTTACGTAATTGCAGTAGAGAATGATCGTGGTGTTACAACTAGCCTGGTGTTGGGATGAGTAAAACTGGTGATTGAGGAATGAGAACATACCTCCAGAAGGAGTCCCTGGAATGGCATGGTCCAGAGTTGTAACTCTGAAATGTTTCAATCCCAAATCACTGTCAAATGAGTACCTCTCATCCTGTGTTTGCTGGGAAATAGAGAAACTACACATTGAGCAGGGTGGATAAGCTGCCTTCTTCAGTGTTTTAAGTAAAACAAATGTTCCAGGCCCTTTTCTTTTGAAAAGAGAATTTGAATTGAAGAGCAGAGGAAGCTAATCCAGTTAAAGGCATTTTTATTTCCTTTGGGAGCAGCATCTAGTCTTAAGACCCTTCTCTTGTTATTTACCTTCAAAATATTTTGCATTATAAAAGTTTTTTTTAAGTAGTTAAAAAGACTTAAGAAAAAGCAAGATTTTTTTACTGTTACATCACGGTTTTGAAATAGACATGTTGGCATCTAGCCAGAATTATATCCATTGATTTTCATGAGCAGCTCTCACTTCCATTCTTGGTGATATTTTAAAGCAAGTTCTGTTAAGACAACTGGAAAATGATTTATTCAGACAGTAAGATAGGTCTCTGCAGGCTTTTTAATTTCGGATCTCTCCCCCAAACATTATTTCTGTTTTGTCTCCCACCAATCCATGCCATTTTCATTTCACTGAGGGTTTGTATGGAGTGATGGTTACTACTGGACTGTGATTGGGAGTGTTGGAATCAAGTTTATCTGAAGCTCTGAGTGATTTTAAGGCAGACCCTCAGCCCTCAGTGATTTTAAGGCAGTCAAGTTCTTGAGAAGCAGAAACTGGGAAGAAAGCGCTACATACTTTTGCCTTCATGATAGAGGGAAAACTAGATATAAATCAAATGTGTTCTCCTACTGGGGGATTTCCCCCCCAACATTTGTACATTTTATTGTTTCTAATGCCTCTCTTCTGTGGGTTTGCTGCTGTGTTTGCACCATGAAGATATGCAGTCTTCTCAGCAGTTAGAAGCAGAAAATCAGATGACAGTTTAACTGCCTATGAAATGAGAGAAGCTCAAGACTTTGTTGTTATTTGTCATTAAATAAGTAGACAGGAGATTTAAGATTTGTTGCTTTATTAAGGTACTGATAGAGGTTGAACATAGTCCTTGTCTTTTGTGAACAGCTTTAATAAATAAAATATGGCTAATACATGATCCCTATCAAATTCGTAAGTTACTGGAACAAAGTTTTCAACAGATCCCAACATATTACTAAATCATTTCTACTAAACTGACCTACTTCATTAATTTCATGACAACACAATTATCTTTCAGTAGCTCTGTAATATACTTGGCATTCTTAAGAATGCACAGTTCTAACATTTTAGTAATAATGATGAATGTCAGCTGGCTCTGTCCCAAGCAAGCCTTGTTCCAACTAATCTTAACTGTTGGCGTTTTTCTTTCTAAAAGTAGGGTTAGACAAATGTTTTATTCTGTCAAACCAAATTTGACATTTGTACAATACTTCATTGTGTTAATACTGGGGGCTAATGTTTAGTCCTATTGTAGAGGTTATATTATAAAGAGAAATCCAGCCTTGTTAGCAGGCATGAGAACCACAGCTCTGCTGTGGTTTTTGTGGTTCTTTTCTTTCTGGAGCTGAACAAGCTGAATCTTGGAAAACTAGGTGTTCAGGTTCTTCGGAGGTAATAAGATTCTAGGCAAGGGGAAGGGCCACTTGAACTATAATTCTCAGTTGTCACATTGCACTTACACGGCATAGTTGTTTTTCTGGCTTAACTGTTCCTCCAAAAACAAAAAAAGCAAAGTTGCCTCTATATACAACAATGAAGTACTGTAAACACGGGACAGATAAAATATCAGGCTACTTTATGAATCTAGATGGAAGGTTCTAATTTGAAAATTATTAAGATGGTAGCAGGGGAGGTTAGATGCTGTCTGAGCATTCTCTTCTCCTCGAACTGCAGCTGTTCTCTTTGAGCCCGGCGAGGTGCCAGAGGGAGAATATCCTTCCTTGCTTGCTTGCGGGTATCCTTAGATTGCTTAGTGGGGGAGCCACAGGATTGTGCTCTTCCAGGAAGTAGAGAGGGACAGATTAACTACGTGGAAGTGGGAGTAGATTCTAAAGTGCTGAGAATGATTGATGGCACTTCGGGAGTATAAATATTCTACCTTTCTTCTGTGCAACTGCAACACAACTGAAAGGGATTAGTGGCTTCTTGCCCTACTATTCCATTTCCTGCTGCAAAAGGTATTCCTCTTAATTCTACAGTTTCTGTTGGAGGGGGATTAAAGGAATCCCTTTGAAAGTCACAGTGGATAAATTCACAAGCAGCTCTTGACCAGCCTCTGGAAGGACAGCTGAGAGTCTCTCTTCTCACCAACTGCTACTGCTTCTGTGTTCTTACACAACTGATGCAGATTGTGTGAACTTGAGGGATACTTCAGATCTTTATTGGAAAGATTTCAGTATGCAAATATCACCACTATTTAAATACACAAATTTACAAAACACTTTACAGACAACCAACATTAACACAGTTAAATACCTATATTTTTGTACATTTTCACCAGCTAAAGGATCAAAATACAAGTTACAGAACATTAAGATTATCATTAATTTAAAAGGAGCTTATTGCTTACGTCAGCAAGCAGCAAATGAGGGCGCAGGAGTGTTAACTGAAGAGAACTACTTCCTATTTACCAGTGGCATGAAGAAAAAACACAGCATGTCACAAAGCACTGCTTTTTTTCTTTTTTTCTTTTTTTTTCCCCTCTTGCCTAGTGTATAGAATCAAGCAGCACATACCAGTTCAGGAACAACTACTTTTAAAATACGTATTATACCACATTTGAAAATTTGCCTCACAAATGGATTCTACACGCTCTACCACTATGTGATGAAAGAAATGGACACTTTCTATTTTTAACAATATTTTGTACTGGACCACAGTAGGAATGCATTGACAGGTTCCTTCCTGCAGGGTCAAACAGGGAGAACAGCAGGTAATCCATCTATGAATCCACAGGCATGAAGTTAACTGTAAACACAAGAGCATGCTCCAAGACTCCAAGACTTTCCAATTATACCTGCATTTTGGGAAGAGCATCCAACTTCTGCAGCACCCAAGAACTTGGACATGCCTTCAGAGGATTACTTTTGCACATTCCATTGAAGACAGCCATCCAAAAGAAGCAACTGGATCTATCTATCCTTGACTGGTCTGAAATGTTTTCAGGCAAGACAGCCCAAATTGCTCTATTCTACAAGCACTTATTTCTTTGTAACATAATACACCTAAGCCTGCAGTTGTCAAATGCAAACAAATGGTGCTCCCCTCCACAAGTATGAGTAAACCTAGGGCTTTCAATCTCTTAATGGTATTAAACTACTTTTTCTTCCTCTAGTGAATCCTTTTGCAACATGGTATCCTTCAGAATTTCCAATTAGGATGTCCAGATTTTGAGAGTAGCAGTTCCAAAACCTCTAAAGGGTGCCTAATTAAGGACTACTTCACTCATTAAAAAAAAAAAAAAAAAACCTAAGTCAGCCCACAAATCAAAGTTCAGAAGCATTTTCTAATCATCAGTATTCTCAAGTTTTCTGTAAATATTTAAATTTGCACGAATGACAGAGTGCATTAGTTAGTGGTATTGATCAGAATATTGTGGAATTCTGTGAGGGTTTTAGATAGTGTAGGTTGAGTGCCTAATATTTCAGTTCATTTAAGCATCCAACAGACTTCTTCTAACATGCTTTATGTGCTTCTTCTACATCCCAGCTACCTACCTTATGTGAACATTAGTGTTTCAAGAGTATTTTACTCATCAAGATTAAGGTCAAAAATGGAAGGCAATCCTCAGACTCACCCTTAACTTGTAACTGGCAATTTAGTTCTCTAGACTTTTAGTTCATTTTGCTATTGCTGCTAGAGTAGATTGCCATGTTCATATTTTTTCATCTGATTGCATTCCCACTTGCTCTGGGCATCCCTAGTAGCTTCGTTTCCTATTCTTAAGGTCTCTTCAGACGAACATGCAGGTGCTCCAAGCAGTTGAGCAAAAATGTCTCCAACACGCTATTATTTCTAAAAAAGATTACTTTCTCTTACCTGGGAAAGCAGAACCGATGACAAATTGGTGGCTTAATGAGTTTTCATAGGACAGTGTAAATTGTATCTGAACTGACTTTACATCAGTTTGACACCTGAGATAAAAGGGACTGGGGAGGAGACCTTAGTGGCTTGAATCAACCACAGTTATTTATTTTAAGCAGTTTAAGGATTATTACTTTTTCAGTTAAAAAGACTAAACTGTCATTAAGTAAACCCCCACCCCCCAAGCCCAAACAAGTTACTGTGATTTCAGTATAGTTTCAATTTTAGCTGCAGGAAATTATCTTTAAAAACTACAAAAACTTGGCATGGCATTCCTTCCCCCTGCCCCATCTTATAAATAGGGAAAAAGTAAAGGTTGAATACATCCCTTGAACTGCATCTTGGATATACAAGAAGAGCTGGGAGGGCCTAGGTGCTAGATTAAACTCCCATATGGCTTTTAACAACAGACCTGCAAAACAACCTGATACATAATTTTTGCTCTTCATATTAAAGAACCCCCATCCCCATGGACTTCATATACCTTCCTACTTCCTCCTCTCATCCACTTACAAAAACCAATAGGTTCTAAAAGAAGGTCTTTCTGAAAATATTGCTCCACAGACTCATCTCTTAACGGGTTTCTTTCTTTTTTTTGCAAATTCTTTTAATGGCACTTTCCTGTCTTGTCCAGTGAGTCAATAAGAATGTCCAGTTCCCACGAAGTAATGAAGCTACACAGAGTACATATAGATCCGTGTGTGTTTGTACATGAGAGAGAGAGAGAGATTAAATGTGTCCAGGAAGTTGCTAGGGAGACTGGTTGTGCCAATCCTTTTTTTTTTTTTCCACTTTGGAGACAAACACTTTTATTCCTAGGATTTATTTACATGAGTAGAGCCTTCCGCAATCTCCTAATTCTGAAATCCTCATTCTTAATTACTTCTAATTCTGTGAATGTCTAGCCTATTGAAGAAAAAAGGAAAATACAAAGGAACATGTTATTTTTTACAACTCCACAGCAGCCATGGGTCTGGTATACAGGGACTTGGCCTTAGCATCAAGAAAATGCTCTCGCCGTGACCTTGGCGACAACCAATGGAAGCTTGCCCAGGACGGCTTCTCAGGAACTTGTTTCTGCGGCTGTTTAGGTGGTTGGGTGAGCAGAGAGCTAAACCTTCTGTGCAGGAAAGTGGCCTCTGCTGAAAGAGCAGCCCATGGAGCTTTGGCTTCAGTCTAGCTAGTCGCTGCCACCGCTTCACATCGCAGAAATGAAAGTGAGAGAAAATGGAAGCTCTTCTTCCCCATGACTTGAACCACTTGCCTTCGGGCCCGGTGGGGATAGGGGGCTCAACCACCACGCTGCACTCACGTGGGCTTATAGAGCCCAAATTAACTGACACCTGGCGACTGTTCTGCCCATCTGTAGAAGCGTCAGCCCCTGTCTTGCTCTCTGCCAATATGCTTTGACTCAAAATCGCCCTCTTTGGTACACCAGCACTGAACACTTGATCTGGGGAAAGGCGTTTGGCACTGTGAAGTTTGCCAGCTTCTGTTTTCCTCAGATCTAAACAGCCTGGATCTTCTAATACGTTGATGCTGGAACCTGCACTCAAGGTAGTTCTGTCTGTGAAAGAATCCACTCTCCCGTCGTATCCAAGATCGGCAGGTGCTGAGACCTGGTGCTGAGGCCACTGTCTCTTGCAGTCACCATGGTTTTCTTTATCATCTCCACTGTCCTCTTGCCCACCTTGGAAAGAGTTCTCTGTCCACTCAGACTCCTCGCTGACACTGATCGCTGTACTCATGTCCCTGAGAAAGACCACGATGACAGTGATGTTATCACTAGAACCAGCATCTCGAGCAGAAGCCACTAACTTGTGTGCCACCATGCTGCTGTCCCCATTGTTCTCCTTCAAGTGGTCAGCCACCACCTTAACAGCTTCATCAGGATTCACTGTGTCATAGAAGCCATCACAGGCTAGAATGAGGTAGTCTTCTGATCCATCAAGCACTGTGGAGCCAGAATCCGCATCTCCACAGATGTATGGCTTGTGCTCTGCATCACCTGGAGCGATTGGACAAACAAAGCCGGAGGAAATTGAGGCCTCTGACAAATAACCACTGAACCACGAATTCTTTCTGTATCTTTGTTTAAGGCAGTAAGAAAAAAAAATACAGGATAAAATAATAACAATGATGGGAGGCTTGACTACCACGAAAGCTGTTGTGTGAAAATGAGACTCCCCAATTTTAACTGAATTCATCAAGTCCCTAGCTCTCATTTAGCATAAAAGCATGAAAACACAGCAGAGGGGAGAAGGCAAATTAAACAGGCTCTAATCATTACTACTTTCAGTAATTGTGTATTTGAAGTTGCAGAGGGTTTTGCCAGGGTTTTGGTTTCGGATCTCTGCTGCTCTGGGGTCCAAACTGATGGGTTACATCTTGGATGAATTGCATGCTGCATATCAGATGTTGTATGAAAGGGGAGATTACTGGGGAAAAGCATCTGTGCACAGCAAGGTCAGGAACTTTTTAAGATTCCAGGCACTCATCCCACCCAAATTGTTTTAATGAGATGTCAGTGGTTTTGCAAAATTTTGAACAATTTTCTGTTTTTAATTTTAATTCTGGAGGCAGCAAGTGGGCCAGACAACCTGGCATCCATGGGCTTCATTTTGCTCAACATTGTGTGTGGGAATGTAAACGTCCATTCTGCCTTGAATGTAGCAGGCTACCTTCATCACACCCTCTGCTGACCAACCTACGCTGCTTCAGTGGGGATGACCCTGCTTGAAATCTTCCAGCAATAACTTTTCATAATTTGGACTGGGGGGTCAGGGTGTAAATTGGGACTGTAGACGCTACTGAGGAGAGAGAGACAGCATTTGTCCCAGCAGAGTCCCTCTGGTCTGGCCCAAACTGGATCAGTGGAAACGCAGCAAAATACGCCTGGGATGGAGCCAGCTGGACAAAACCTATTTTAGTGACAGTGCAAAAACCTTGCATCTTTTAATTTAACTAACATAGTGACTGTGAATATTCCTCGGTCTTGAAGATGGACATTTCACTGGTCTTGATTACACAGTTCCCTGTTCTTTAAGCCCACATACGGCAGGCAATGTCACACTCACCGAAAGCCTCTAGTTTAACTAATATGGCCAGTATTTTTCTGTTGCTTTAAACTGTGTCCTGTCTTCCCCAGCCCTCCCTGTGATCTGATCTCTTTGTTTCAATATTCTTTTCTGTACTTCCTGCAGTTCTACAATAATTCTGTTTGAGGAGGAAAGGGCTGCCAAGATTTTTCTAGAACTGACAGCATCACAAATCATTCCAGTGACACCGTGCATGCTGTTTTGCTTTTAATCCCTTCTCTAGCACTTTCTGATGCTCTGCTTGGCTTTGCTCAAAATGTATTGAGTAGACATTTTCATTCAATTGCCCACTATGGCTGCAGCATTTCTTGCCTATCAACACCCACATTAACATTTGTATATTGCAAATGAGTGTAAAATGTAGCATTTTTCCTACCAATGGCTCTGGAGACAGAAAGACTTCCATTGACTCGCCATGCCCCAAACCAGACCACGCAACCTCCAAGGGCCTCGATGCGTTTCTTCTCATCCTAAAGCAGAAGACAATTCACCAATTGGTTGAAGTTCCTGCTGCAGTGGAATTTACCTAACTACTTAATGCTTGTACGCATATTTCCTCTATTTTCATCTGAAACCATAAAAGTGGGTTAGCAAATGCAAAATTGCTGTAGAGGCTGGGTTTGCAATCAGCCAAGCCAGGCTCCCAGCCCCATTTTCTACAAGGGGTTCTATAGTCCTAGAGAGGACTCACCTCCCGATCTGGTTTATGAGGTTTCATCAGTTCTACCGCTTGGCCCCTTTTCACGAGCATTACTTGAGAGTCCCCCAGCCATGCCACATATAACATGTTCCCTCGGATGAACGTCACGACACCTGTGGTCCCACATCGCAAGCTCTACAGAGAAAGCAGAACCATAATTTGGACACAATCTGAGGAAGCTGGACAGCAGTTCAGGCCCTTCTGACACACCCCAACCAAGCCAACAGTTTGAGAGACAGAACGAAAACCAGCTTCTCTGTGTTACAGTCCAACATATTTTTGAAGCCAGTGTGAGTAATAAAGAGATTTTACCAAGCTGTTTGAAACACTGATGTGCACTTCTAATTTGGAACTCCTCAGTGTTCTGGACAAGATCATTTTAAACCTGTCCTAACACATGACCTAAAACTCGAGGACAAAAAACAGAGCTTCAGTGGGTAGGTACCAAACCAGTACCATAGTGTGAACAGTTATTTTCATACTACCTTTTTAATTAAAGGAACAGACAGAAACAGGAAAAGTCTACCGGCTTTCCAGTGATCAAAGCGATTCAAAATAGCTTCTGTTACAGGCAAAAACCAGGCTTTAGGGATTTGCCCAGAATAGGAAATACTGAGTAAATGAATTCTAGAGCCACATTAAAGCCAGCGTAAGATCAACTTGTCAGTGCATAATCATTACATCAGAACATATGGATTTTCCTCAATAAAACAGATACGATTCCATAGCAACTCATTTGCACTCAGCTTGACCATCCCTTCAAAATTAAGGTTAATATTTTTACGCTTTGAAAGAAGCACCCAGTATTTGTTATTCAGGAGGTTCCAAGCTGGGAAAATGATAAATTTCTTCGAAAGAAACAGAATCAGTCTTTAAATTAAATTATTTTCTAACAATTTAAATTTTAAAAATCCGCAAAAATACTCTTCAATTCTGTCTGAGTGTCAATGCTAAAATTCCAGGTAAGTGGTCTGGCTTGCAGGAAAACAAAACAACACCTTTTGCAGACATTTCTTCCAAACAACTACCCTGGAAGGAAGTTTTATCCAAGTTTACTCCTCTATGGGAATGGATGTAGATTCTGTCCAGTTGTTGACCGGACACTTCCCAAAACCAAATCTTGTCCACTCGCCAACCAATGATGTCAATTCACCTCTCTGGCTGCCTTCTGCACAAAGCGTTCATCTGTTACCCGGAAGGCTTTGCAGAGCGCTTCAGCAGGATCGTGCTGGAACATCTCTTGGTGCACCAAGTTTACATGCAGGTGAACTGAGGCATAGATGGCGGCATCTACTCCTCCATGGCCATCAAACACTGCAAAATAGGCCTGCTCCTCTTGATCCTGCAAATCAAAAGAGAAGCAAATCCAAAGGAGAATGATCTGAGGCTGAGCAGCTTCAGCAATCAGGTTATGGAGAGGGCCTTTAAACATAGGAAATTTAAGTCATGCTTGAACTGACTAAAAATCCTGCACCGAGGTTAGTCCCATTGGAAAAGGGATATGGATATAACAGTGGAGACGTCTGTGTGGAGTTCCTTCGTATTTTATTTCCTTCACCACCCACCTTATTAAGCCTACCTGCAATAATTTCCCTTGGCGCCCACTTGGGTCCTTGGCTATCTAGAGTTTCTACTAATACGCCTTAGCTCCCTGCCGTCTCACTTCTTCCAAAGGCCCTTTACCTCAAGGTTGAAGAGTGTGTTGAAATCCGGGATGCAGACATGCTTGTCTTCCATTTTGCGGCGCATGTTCTTAATGGCGTGGATCGATGTCTCATAGTAACGGTGGGGCTTCTGCTGAAGCGGGAAGTCCTTCGCCCAGGTGCTGCAAATATCGTGAAGCTTGCTGAACACGGTGCGAGCCAACTTCTCTGTCTCCACCTCTGCAAGGAGTTCCAACACCATGGTCAGAATGAAAAGCTCCTTGTTGAAATACAAAGAAAAACTATCTGCTGGGATGAATTCTTTTCCACTGATGTTTTGCTGAAATACTAGATATGAACAGGGGGTCTTAGCCATCCTATTGTGACCTTCCCATATTTTAAATGGTTTGTTTTAATTTTCTAAATACCACCTAGAAACTGGTAGAAGGAAACTTTGAATTGTGAATTAAAGATGCAGCATAAATAGGGAGAGAATGCACTACATGTCTTTCTGATAAAATCTTGATTACAATAACACTTCACCCAGCTGGCTGGATCCACTGCTAGTGCCGCCTTTTCAAAATCACTCATTCACCTGTGTAAAATTCTGTCTCACCTACAGAAACCAGTGAACAGCTTGGTGTGAACGATTAGACTCTGAGTCACTACGTTTTTGCATGAAATTACACAGACTGGCACTTCTCTAGACTTTTGAACAGCCTAGTTTTAGCACTAAGTTTCTTGGTCACATCCTAGTCTCAGAACTGGAACCTCCTCGTGGCCCACTTATGAATCTTGAACAAATGATGTTCATTGGAGACATAGAGAACTGGCAGTTTAATATGGCCTTAAAGCAGGAACTGGTGTTCCTCTCTACTAGCAGCAGTCCAGTGGCTTTTCTTGGAAAGAAGTAACTGGTTCTCTTCCATCAGAAAATCTCAGTGGAATAACATGGTGAATTACCAACCCATCCACACTAAGATGGGCCAGTCTCCCAAAACGGAAATGCTATCCATACATGCATTCAGAAGCCTGGAGAGATTCTGGAAATACAGAAAGCAAAAGCAGAAATGTGCATTTTTGCTGGAGAGGAAGGCATGCTCCACAACCAGAGAGAAAAGGTCCACTTGCTATGCTGATACTTGGAAGTGCAGCCCCCTGGGGATGGCACACACTGCGAGCATCATCAATAATTACTGGTTCACATTTTTTTTAAAGAGCCCTCAACAGCTTATCCACCCCCATGCAGCTGTAAATTACTCATCAGTTGTTAATGCTGGAGTGCTGTGCTCAGGCTGAGTCAGCTGTCATCCCGTCTAGGCTACCACCAATACATTTTTCCCCTCCTGCCAGGAAGGCTTAATTGTATCAATTGTAGCAGCAGTCCCAGCCCAGCCACTTTACTGCATAATGGTGGCTGGTTGGCCCAAAATTGCTGCATAAGAAACTTCACTGTCTTCATAGGTTAAAATCCAAAAGTTTCAGAAGTGCTTGTAACACATGGCAGAAAAGGTAACAGATGGCCAGCAAAGACCTACACTATTAAGTTTGCTCTTGGAATTCTTTTAAAGGCCTTGACAACTAACCAGGAATGGGTACATCTGTATAGGTTTTTCAGAAGACAAACCCCATTGGATATTATATGCTTGACCATTTGAAAAGGAGCAGCTGAAAGAGGACAGGTGGCCTTGTGGACCAGAAACCATCAAAGAAGAGTCTTTCAAAGATTGGTACTTTTGAACTTGTTTTTAAACAAATTGGCCTTCGGATTGAAAAGTGAGTTGCTGTTGTTCAATTTTTATCCCATCTTTTATTTTTTTTTATTTT